GGTGGGTGCAGGACCCCTCGGTGCCCCCCCAGGTGAGTTGCTGCAGAGGAGGGCAGGGCCTCCCCAGCTGCTTTCCCCTCCCCCTGGTTCCTCCTCACTCAGCCCCATCTCTAATGGTCCAGCTGGGGGGTCCAGCCCCAGCACTGCCTGCTGCTCTTCCAGCCCAGAGGTGGCCAAGACCCCCAGAGCTCCCCAAAAGGACAGAGAAAACCCTCCCTAAGGACAAGCCCAGCCCTCCTGCTGCCCTGGCGTGCTCCTGAGAGCAGAGCAGGGCAGGACCCCCTCAGGGGTTGAGGCATCACCCCACTCCTCCCAGCATCCCTCCCCCAGCCCTGGCACAGGAATACAACGACCATCCTCCATTATCCCAGTTATCCCAGTTACCCCTTCACCGGGGATGTGGAGCGGCACCGATCGGTACCAGGATGGGGATGCTGGGGATTTCAGTCCCACTGGAGGGGATTTTTGCCAGCGGCTACGGGCAAGATGAGGCCTCAGATGTGGTTTCCAGCCCTTGTGGGTCCCAGCTGTGGGGCAGCAGGGCCTGGTGTCCCGTCCTCCACCCCACACATTTCCTGCCCCGTTGCGACAGGCGCCCCCAGCCGCTTGCATCACTTCACTGCCAGCACAAAGGGTGGGGGCAGCTGCCACCCCCGGCCTGGCCCCCACCAGGGCTCTGTCCCCTCCCCAGCTCTTGGCTAACCCAGCACGGAGCAGCTGGAGCCCAGGGGTGACACCTGGCATTGTCACCAGCCGGGGTTCTGGCACCTTTGTTGGCTCTGGAGAATAGGGACCGAAACCTCTCCTTGGGTCCACACTGGTCCACTTGGGTCCTGGCTGGGCTGGGGACAGGAAGGGGACACAAAGTTCCACCCCCCTCCCCTGCCCAGACCCACCTTGGGAATTGGAAGGGGCTGGTTGGCTTTCCAGTCTGTGTGGGAAGAGGGACCTGAGCAAGCCCAGGGATGTCCCTGTCCCCCAGTGGGGTTATTCCCAGTGACCACAGTGGGGTGGGCTGGGGGCTCTTGGTCTTTCCTGAGTGTCCCCAGATGGGGACATTTTTGGCTGGTGGAGGAGGCAGCT